CGAGCCCTGCTGGCTCTCCGCAGCCACCGGAGACCGGGCTCTGACCGCGTCTGGGGAGGGGGCGAAGAGGCCTTGCTCCTTACCGGAGTTCCTGCCGGTAAAATTGTGCCTGAAACTAAGACCTAATGTCACTTCCAGAGAGAAAAACTTTTCTAGTCCAGTGGAAAAGTTGTCGAAGTAGCAGTAGTTACACAGTTGTTGGCTTTAACCGCCTGTTAGGTCAGTGTAAAGGGTCTAGAGCCCAAAGAGGCTGTAAATATGCCCAAGGTTTGCGGCAAACAAAACCGCAAAAAAGACTATAAAAGATGAATTTTAATGTCTTTGTTTTATTAGAGAGAAAACTTGAGGAAATTCAAATGAGGCACACCACTGGCTCCCCCTGTGTTACCGCATCTTGTAAATACTTAAAATGACTGCTGAACATGAAGCTTTTTATAATGCTGATTGTTCCCGTGGTTAGCATCTGTAGTTAAAATGCTTTGAATGCTTTCATTATTGGGGCATATCTGGATTGAAGTTACACACTTTGGCCACGTCTGTGTTGTTCATTGGGGAGTCTTGCCCAATTGAAGTGGGTTGAATTTTTTTGTTTTTCTGCCTCCTTTACACTATGAAAACAGCCTTTACTGTCAAATGTGCTTTCAGGTATTTAGTAGGGGAAAAGGAGTAAATTATTTTGATGTGACATACCTGTATGACTTTGCTGGTAAGGAACTGCAGCCTTCTAATTACTGTAAGATGAGTTTGCCACCTGACATGGTGTACTGCTTAACAAATAATAATGTCTAAGTAAGACAATACTTTCTGCATAGCTGCATATTAACTATTAACATTATCTATTGTTTTTTATAAATAAAACTTGCTTTAATGACATATTTGATGTTACAGCCAAGTGCATTTTGTGAATTCTTAGTACTACTAAAATCACTGTTCGGTTTTGCTTTTGAAGTGTAACTAGCTGGTTAAGTAGACACGTGGCAGAAAAGCTACCTGCTTAAGTAAAACCATGAGGCAAGAAAAGCTATTTTATTAGTTTTCTCAAGAGGCTCATTCGAATATTTTATCTCATTAATTATCTTTTAGAGCTGGCTAGTCAAGATGAATCTGAGAAAAGGCTATATGATAGAAGTTGAAATTTTAAATGCACTCATGAGGCATTTAGAAAATCAGGAGAACAGTTTGGTATTGGTGTTAGCAATAACGAAGGAAGGGAATACATGTTTGAGTCACATTATTTTAATTAGTGAAATTTGTCACCCAGGTATAAATCATCTGCCCAAAAGACAAAAATGTACTGATACCAGCAGATAAATATGCAAAAACCAGTCTCTGTATATTAAATAGTTGTGTAACTCTGGACCAGACCCTAATCAAAGGATGCAATAAAAAAAAATCATTTTTCCCTACAGTATTTTACCTTTTTTTAGTCTATCTTTTCTAGGTGTTGATTGTGGGGAAAACAGATTGGGGGCTGGGGCCGCAGAGGGAGAAGACTCAGCACAGCAGTTTAATCCCTAAAGGTTCTGCCCCTGAGGGGGATCACAGTGACTAAGGCAGTCTGTGAGGCCTTGTTTGCCAGGAGTCATCACTTTGTTCCAGACTTTCTGGTTTCTGTACTGCCAAAACCTGCAAATTTTTTTGTATGAACTCAATTTTACTTATTAAATTACTTTTCATTATGCATAGTGTATTCTGTCTTGACTTTTCTATAAAAGTCTGTTACCACGTTAAATTTTGGGCTCTCCTTTTCAGTTCTGCTTGCTGTTGCTTGTCACTGTGCCACCTTTCTTCCCATGGGGGAGGGTGAACAGTAGAGCTTGCACGAGACACAATACTAAGAAATTAGAAGTTCTACCTATGGGTATGTAGGCAGCTTGGAACCACAGCTCCTTTGTATTTCATCTCTTCCTCTTGTCTCTTCCTTTCCCCTGCCTCCTACATACTTACATAACCAGGCCTGATTTCAGGCCTAATTAACTATGTTACCATGGCTGGGGGAGGTGGGGCAGAGAACTGAAGGATAGATGGATTTTTGTCCCCTCTTGTTATTTAACAGCATCCTATTATTTGACAGAGAAGTTTTAATTTTTTTAATTCTCTGTGTCTTACTAGAACAGTGCAGAACAGTCCATAGCAGCATGCCATCTTTAGAACATTTTACTGGCTCAATTGTTAATTTTACACTGAGTTTTCTAAATAAAAATCATTGCTAGTGAATAAGCACCCATTGGTAGGAACAGAAAACTTTTGCTTAGTGTGG